GGTCGCGTGGGGTCGTGAGGTAACACTCTGTGGGGTCGCGAAAAAAAATTAGGTTCATTTGGGGGTCGCGGGTAAGAAAAGGTTGGGAACCGCGGGAACCGCTGGGATAGGCCCCTGGCGAGGGGGCAAGAACTCCGGGAATCATGTGTACACCTGACGGTAAATCAGCAGGATAAAAATTGATCGAAATCAACAGAAATTGCTTTAACTACGCGGGAAACTAGTGAAACTGGTTCAATATAGTCGAAATAAGCGTTTTCTTCCAGTAAAAAACCCAAGGAATAAATGTAAGCGGACGGGAATCACTGGGAATCAAGTCTTTCGGGAATCATGTGTACATATCAAAAGGGAGTTATTCCCCCCTCGGCCCCTGGGTGATACATGATGGTGTTGCCAACCTTACAATGCTATCTTTAAAAACAAATAAAGGTACATTCAAGGTGTAAGAAATTAGAATCAGAAATGAAAAATATTTTTGCTCCTTTTTGTTTATTTTTATAGTTAATAATGTTACTGTTGTGCTGTTCAGTTGTTTTGCATTGTAGGCTTAACCTATTCATCTAAAATGAGAATGTTGGCAACACTTCACGGGCGGCAGCCCCCTTGCATCCAAATTTGGAATATTATGGTAAAGAAAATCAAAAATAAAAGTGGGGGTCAAGGGAATATTATGGGAAAGAAAGATAAAGAAAGAAAAGCGGGGTGAAGGGGGCGGAACAAAACACATTTGAAACAGTTTTTGACTTCGAATATTGAAAATTCAAAACAAGATCGGCGAAGCCGATGTACCGTACCCAAATGGTACAGCCTAGTGGTCCGAACACTGCGCGCTAACGGTGGCCGGTGGCCCAAACACGCTGGTGCGTGACGTCACGGACCAGCCTGGCCTCCTCCCCGCAAGCAGACCCCCAACCCGAACCGAACTGAGTGGTGACGTCACAGGCTCTCGTGAGCCGATCCTTCCCTCCTGCCCGGGGCCACACCCGGTTTAGTGCACAACAGGGAGGACTGCGAATAACCACCACCTACGATACGAACAGTTCCTCAGTTCCTGTAGCATTCATGGCTGCCTGTTTGTTGACTTTTAGTTTCTATTCGCTTCGCCATTGTAAATGACCCATGTAAGTTTATTTGTATCTTTTTTGAAATCTTCGAACGGCAACAATACTTTCCTGAGACCGCTCTCCGGTGCTGTTATGTCCGTACTATTCTTAATCTGGTCAATCTTAAAGTGGTAATGCAGGCTTAACCAATCCCATGAAATCTGCCGTTGTTGTTGTTTGTTAAACTCCCAAACTTGTTCTTCCGACACCACTCAAATTTCAATTATTTGTATAACGCACTCAGGTTAATTTACCATCTGCATACTATTGTACTTACACGGCTTTTGGCATATCTGTTCACCTTTCCGTAAATATTCATGTGCCTAGGTTATGTCATTATTTCCCTGGCAGTCAAGATAAGATTGCACTGAAGATAGAATGTTGTGTATATTACTAAACAGTGAACAATTGAAATTTGCTTTTATTCTTAGGTACTGTACAATGCCTTAAAAGCATAGAAATTATTTGACCCACTGGGCCTCGGTGTTCATCAATCCTACGAATTAAGGTGAAGGCCTCAAAATGATTCCAAATCCTCAATCATACCAATATGACTTTTGGATCCAGAGTTCAGAAGATGCCACTGTTGAGATTAGTTGCCTCATGCCTAATGGACTTTTTATACCAATGGAAGTTAATAGAAATGCAACGCTCCAAGAAGTTAAAGAGGTGATAGAGAAGTCTTATACACTGCTCAACTTTCTTTCCAAATATATGAGCCACAGATTCATCATTCATTCATGATGCAGGTCATAATTTTTGCCCTATCTTCTATGATTTTCAGGATTTGTGGGAGGAAGCTAGCAAATACCCATTACATGGGCTTCTTCATGATGCCTCAATTTATGTGTTCATGTGCATCAATTCTATGGCTGAGCCTGAAGAACTTCATGATGAGAATCGTCGTCTTTGTGATGTTAAACCATTTTGTTGCATATTGAAAGTATCCCAACGTGTTGGTGATACAGCAGACAATGCAATAAATACTGAGATTGGAAGACTAATTGGGAAAGGTGTGTATTTTGTTGAAAATTTTTCAAACTTTCTCCATCACATTGGTTTTGTTATTTTAGTTTGACCAACAGCTCTGCTGCTTTCTTTATATTTCGTCTAGGTCTTCATGAATTCCAAGCATTAAAAAATTCTGAGATAAATGATTTTAGATGGAAAATGAAAAATTTAGGGGATGAAGTTGCCCGAACTCGAGTCAATAAATCATGGCTGGAGAGACTTTATTATCAATTTCCCCCTCGACTAGCCGATCCTACTAAAGATATACCTCACAATGTTGCGTGTAAGCTTCGAGATGGAACTTTTGTATTGACGACTAAATTTGAGAACACTGATGTAAGTTAGCAAAAATGTGTACCTTCATTTTTATCATGTTTGTTTAATAATTTATTTTATTTTACATTCATATTTTTGTCTTAACAGGCCTCATTTACCTTCATTGTTACTTATAATACCAAGCCACAACAGTTAATTACCCAGATATTAAATAAGAAATCCCAGAACTTAGCCTTCAGTGGTGAACAGGCACAAAACTTTGTTTTAAAAGTTTGTGGGCAAGATGAATACCTTGTGGGTGATGTGCCTCTCATTCAGTTTCTATATATTCAAGAAATGATAGCCAAAGACTGTTGTCCACTTGTTGTCACTGTTTCAATAGATAGTATTCCAGGTAAAGTTCATTGATTTGTCTGTAGCAAATGGCACCACATTTTCAGATGACTTGTCAAACTTTTATTTAGGTATATTTGAAAAGTTTAATCCTAACATGAGTGTTTATTTTTCCTGTTAATTAGTTGATAGAGAAAATTCCAATGATGTAGGCAGTAAAGAAATGCAAAGAACAAGGCAACCATCATCAACCAATACACAACGTAAGAAAGGGAAGCACATCTCTTCATGGAGTATTAAACAACCATTTGAGTTTCAAGTGAAAGAGATATCTCGCCTTAACTGCAATGTAAATCGACCCGTTGAGGTAAGATAGTCGATATTCAAATCACAACCATGTACACTATGGTACCCAATGTTTTCCAAATAAAAAGGTTCTGTTTCTCAGGTTGTGGTGAAGGCTGGCCTCTTTCATGGAGGAAAGTCCTTGTGTCAGCCAAAGCAAACAACAGAAAAGGCTGTTGAATCAAATTGTGTTGCAAAATTTGAAGAAGTTTTAAAGTTTGATATCAATGTGTCAAATATTCCAAGAATGGCAAGACTCTGTCTAATGGTTTATGAAATATCTAAAAGTTCTAAAGGTGTCAAGTCAAGAAGATTAAAAGACTCCAAACAGGTTTGGGAACCTTTTTTCAATCAGTGGTTATGTCTTGGGTTATGTATGTTAATTTGTGGATTTGAAGGTCTTATTCATGTGTTTTTTTCAGGAATTATACATTGTCCCTCTTGCATGGGTTAACACTACAGTTTTTGATTTCAAAAATCAAATGAACACGGCTACGACTCTTTACATGTGGACGTATGCTGAGGACATTCAAACAGATGATTTACTACACCCTTTAGGCACTGTTGTGTCCAATCCTTTAGGTAGTGATGCAACTCAACTGACCCTAGCATTCAAAAAGTAAGATATCTATCTACCTTTTTTAACCACATTGTGTAATTCTTTTTGCTTTTTACCCTTCTTTTTCTTACTCCTTTGTTGATGGAGGACCATGCCATTGTGCCAGTTACGGCTTGATTATTTTTCTTTACAGAAAGTGAAAGCAAATATCAAGAACAATACACAATAATTTAATTTTGTATTTTCTTGACTTCTTGCTGTATCTACTATTTTGGACGGTTAATGATTTTTCCATCTCTCATGTAAACTTTCTTTACTACACAGGTATCATCCAGATCACACGGTTGTGTACCCATCCCTTGAGAAAGTTCTAGAATTTTCAGAAACTAAGGGTGAACTAAAACTTGCTTTGGATATGTCAGAACCTTCAAGTCAAAGTCAACAATATCTTGATACTTTGAGGTATGAAACAGTTGTGAAATTCTGCGTGAATGACATCTTCCTTATGTGTAATGTAATTTGTTTCTTCAGGTCAAATGTGGAAACAGATCCTACCTTTGAAATGCACGAGCAAGAGAGAAAGAGAGTTTGGGAGCTTCGCTATGACTGTATGAAACTGATGCCTCATCAGCTCCCTATGCTTTTAACATGTGTGGAGTGGAATGATCAGATCGAGGTACAAGTTAAAACCCTTTAAAAGAGTATTAAAATGAAGTGGAAACAAGTTTTATGACACAGATTATGATGTGACCGACTTGTATATTTTCCAGACTGCTGAAGCCATAACACTACTACAGCATTGGCCTACATTACCTGTTGAAAAAGCACTAGAACTTTTAGATTACGCATATGCTGATCAATCAGTCAGAACTTTTGCTGTGAAGTGTTTGCGAGATGTCAGGTAGATGTTTAAGTACTACATCAATAGTGTCTGTAGGTTTTACATAATTTTTGCTCATTGCAATAACATAGTGCATTACTTTCCAGTGATGAAGATTTATCACTCTACCTTCTACAACTCGTGCAAGCTCTTAAACATGAGTCTTATTTATCCTGTGATCTAGTTGAGTTTTTATTACGCCGGGCACTAAGTAATCAAAAGATTGGTCATTATTTATTTTGGCACCTAAGGTATTGTATTTAAACCAAGCTTCTCTTGTTGGTTTTCTTGAACAACCTTGTGTTCTTAGTCTTAATTCTATGTATGGGTTTTAATCTGAGGAATTTTTGTTCTAGGTCTGAAATGCAAGTTGCGTCAGTATCAGTGCGTTTTGGCCTTATTCTTGAAGCTTACTGCCGTGGTAGTCAAGAACATATGCGCTTACTCTTCAGGCAATTAGAATGCCTTGATAAACTCAAACTAACTAGCGACGAGATGGTAAGAAGCAAAAAAGACAAAGACAAAGCCAAGCAGTTCCTTCAAGAGCGTCTTCAGGAACCCCACTGTCAAGATGCTCTTTCTAAACTTGCAAGTCCTCTTGATCCTAGGTATCGCTGTAAGAAAGTTCGGTAAGTTTAATGTAGCACCACCTGTTGCATTTTAGAGCCGCATTCAGGAAACTGCCCAGCAATGAACACCTAGCTCTCGGAGTAGTCAGCTCCCCGCTCCCCCCGCGGGTGCCCGCCACGTGAAAAATAGTTTACAATAATAAATTTAGGGGTCCATAATGCACAGAGATACCATGCTAGAAGACAAGAATATATAGAATGCTTTATATGCCTTGAAGTTCCCATAACACCTGACAAGCTAAAAAAAATGGTTTATTTACATTTGTTTTTTAAAGTGGGTTTCATTTCATTGTTAACAAGGACTGTATTTTCTTTTCTTTTGAAAAATTTCTTTATTTAAGCGCCACTTTGTTCAAGTAAATCCTTATCATTGTTAATGTTAATTGAAATTTTCAAATTACAGTGTTGAAAAATGTAAAGTAATGGACAGTAAAATGAGACCTCTTTGGATTGTATTTGAAAATGTAGACCCCTATGGTGAAGATGTCTATGTTATCTTCAAAAATGGGGATGATCTGCGACAAGATATGTTAACTTTGCAAATGATCCGCATCATGGACAAGTTGTGGAAAAATGAAGGTCTTGATTTAAGGTATGTATGAACGCAGCCCAGGTAACTCATACCTTTGCTTTCACAGTGTGAGGTACATTATAAAATTAAACTTTTGTTTGCAGGATGAATGCATATGGTTGCATTTCTACAGACAATAGAGTTGGACTCATTGAGGTTGTTTTAAATGCAGAAACCATTGCAAACATTCAGAAAGATAAGGGCATGCTGTCTGCCACCTCTGCTTTTCAAAAAGGCTCTCTTCTTGGTAAGTATGAGTGTTTTTAGTCATTATTTGTTACATTACTAAAAATATGATTTGTCTGAAAATCTACAACTGTAAGGAATTTTCCTGTAGCTTGGTTGAAAGACCACAACCCTTCAGAGACAAAACTAAATAAAGCCATTGAAGAGTTTACTTTGTCTTGTGCTGGTTACTGTGTAGCCACATATGTCCTTGGTGTGGCTGATAGGCACTCAGACAACATTATGGTGAAAAAGACAGGACAAGTAAGAGACACAATACCCCCCCCCCCC